TCAGATGTCATCTTTATGACGGTGCCAGTGTCCCAAGGTCATGAGTCAGAAGGCCCTTTTGCGACCTTCTGACAAGCGAAGTCAATGGGGAAGCCAGGTTCACTTTACAACCAGGTTATTAGCTTAACTGCAGTGATTCACTTGACAACTGTGGCAGGAAAGTCATAAAATGGGGGCAAAATTCACTTAACAACAGAAACTTTAGGATCAATTGTGGTCGTAAGTCAAGGACTACCTGTAATTATACATAGTTAAAATCTGAAATGTTGTAAATATCTTGTGTATCTATTGCAACAGCTAAACCTGACTGCCTCTGAGTTTTCTAAATGTATCTGTCTTCAGTACCTTTCTCTAGGTACATAAAAAGTTAAGAACTTGAAGAACATTTGTGGCCTTCAGTCTAAGATCATGATTCAAGAGAAGCTTTAACCTCTACTGACTGCAGTGGAGATTAGCACAAGCTCTAATTAAGATTTGTACCATTGAAAAATGGTTGACTTTGGCTGGTATGCATCACTGGTGGGATTCAATTTTTTTTACTACCAGTTCTATGAGCATGGCCTGGTGGGCGTGGCAGGGGAAGGATACTGTAAAATCTCCAGTCAAAGGTGGCATTTGCCGGTTCTCCGAACTACTCAAAATGTCCGCTACCGGTTCTCCAGAACTGGTCAGAACCTCCTAAATACCACCTCTTGCAGTGAAAATGGTTAGGTCTACATGAAGTGCTTGAGGTATTTATGTTGTCTTATGCCACAAAACAAACATTTTATCTTGTCAAGGTGTAGAAGTAATGCATATGGCTTCTCATAGCCCAAAGTCATCATGGCAGCTGGACAGTAAAGAAATATACATATGGAAAACTGCATACCAGCTACTTTCTCAAATTTTGAAATTTCCATTTCATGTTTTAGTAAGTATCCAGAGCATAAGAGATGTTTTTAAATCTCCCAGAGAAAAGGAAAAAAATAGAGCCAAGAAATGTCCAGCCTATTGCCAACTATAAATCAGCATCTTGTCTCCATATTGTATTTTGATACAAGAATTGGAATTGCCTGAATTCTGAAGTTTTGCTAAATTAAAATTGGGAGGATAAGTGATACATTTTTATCATACCTGAATTGCAAATATTTAACTAGATATCAGTCAAAAATACATTCTTTTTATTATTAAGAACAAAACCTTTATTTTATTTTTTTAAATACTCTGTTAAGTGTATGGGGATGCTAGGTTTCCTGGGCTATATAACTGTTTTATTTTCCATAGTATTGTATAGCTGCCCTTGTCATAACTGGAGGTTTGCTGCTTAAAACTAAGGGTTCCTACAGGTAGCTTTAGTTCAAATTTGTATGCTAGCTTGCAATCAGCTATCATTTCAATAATGCCTACTTAAACTAATTCAACTTACTAACAACTTGCAGTCATTGTTATTTCAGTTAATAAGTGTGTATTATTTTCAAAGGTACAATATGGGTCAAGGTTTAATATTTATTTCCAGTGCTATGAAATATGAAATGATTGATGCTACAAAAGATTAGCCCAACTGCTTCAAAATGCAACAGTTGCATGTATTCTAATGATATTTGGGTGAGCAAATAGAACTTGGTATTTCTTTAGTAGGCAACTAGCATCCCCATTTAAAATATCACAGAGTTCAGGAAAGGGCAAAAGGAAGAGCGCACAGTACTTAAGCTTCACAATCACAATCACAGCACCAAGATTGTCCAGACGAATAGAAAGGAAATACTAAAGGGAAGGCCTCTGGCCAAAATTTTACACCACCATTCTTCAAAAACTCTGCTTTGGGACCAGAATAAAGCACTAGTGAGAAAGTTAAACTATTTTTAATCCTGTAATAACAGGCTTAGCAAACAACCCAAGAGTTGTTGTATAGAATTACGTAACGAAGCACCCAATGGAAACCTTTTAAAACTGCATTGGAGGATCAGGTCCTTTATTCATTTTTCATAATTGATAACTTAATTGCAGAGAAGAATATTATTGAATTGGGAAGAAAGCAGCACTTCCCCCACATGCCATCATATACAATTTACATCTTTTTGTGGAATAGACTTCTTGATCTAGCCAGTTTATAGGGAGAAAGAAGTAACTACATTTCTTCCATATTATGTCCAATAATTTGATTCTCTGAAAAAGTAGGTATTAAGAAAAAAATGAGTAGGTGAATATTTTCTTATTTGCTAAATCACTGCACCTATCACCATTTCTGAGCCTTTAGTGCGAAGAAATTAAAAAACAAACACATGAGTGGTTGAAAACAGGTTACTCTAAATCCTCTTTGGAGCATCATCCAAATTTGGAGTTTTATTTGGCCCTGTTGAAGCCTGACTGCGTTATGAAACATTAGGACACCTGCCAAGACATCCAAGTTCTCACTAGTGATCTGGGTGTGACCTGTCACATTTAATCCCTTTTCAAATTAGTTTGAACCTATGAGGAAGCTATGTCACATTCACAAATTATCGGGTACAAAAAGCTAATCCCAATTTGTTTGGCCTGCCTCAAATGGACATTTTAGCAAGTAGAACTTAATAGACCTGAATGAAGGCTGTCCTCAAAACAGAGCACCAATTTATTGAAATCAAAGAAGGCTTATCCCAAGAGACATGGAAGTCTCAGGTGCAGGTGTTAAAGAGACCCTGTTATCACTGGTGAGTTAGCTGTTAATCAAGAGAGAAGGACATTCAGGCCCCTCTCCAGATGCAATAAGTTTCAAGCACAGAGGTAGACATTAGCAAAGGAAAAGGGAACACCTTACAAGAGTGTAGGCAGCACCCTAAGTTACAATGATCAAGAGTATCATATAGTCTGAAATGGGTCTCCAACCTTGGCAACTTTAAGACTTGTGGACTTTAACTCCCAGCTTTGGGAGTTGAAGTCTACAAGTCTTCAAGTCCATAAAACTTCCTCAGCTTTGCTGGCTGCGGAATTCTGGGAGTTGAAGTCCACAAGTCTTAAAGTTGCCAAGGTTGGAGACCCCTGGTCTGAAACACTTTGGAACCTTGGAATTCAAGAGGAGAAGACAAAATTAAAGCAATAAAGGGCACTATGATTGTGCAAAAAAAAAAAAAAGTCAGCCTACAGTACATATGTGGCTGAATCCTTTGACATGATAAGAAGAAAAGGAACCTACACTAGATTCCTGAGAGAAAATCTTACTGATTTATGTGTTCTGATAGGTGCTTGGGATCTTTATGCTGAATTTTCCTCCACACAGTTAGCAGAGGGAATGTAGAAAAGGAAACAATTGTTAAGGGGGAAAAATGTGTCCTTGATTTGCCCTTGGTCAAAGCAGCTGGTAGAACAAGAGCACCTTGGCGCAGCAATGCTGAGGAGAGGCACATTTTAAAAGAAAAATGGCTTAACTCTCAAGGAGATGGTATTTTTGTGCCCAGGTTGTTCGGTTTGCAGGTGATAACTGCCGTGCATAGATTCCCCCCACCCCCACAAACCCTAGAAACAAGAATCTATGGGTAGAAATTTGGCAGGGGAAAAGCTAAAATTCACATGCCTCGCATGTCATTTTGATATAGAAATAATGTTTATACCAGAGGACCATCTGATCAGGATCATCCATTTTTTTCAACTGGAAAATCCCTTCCACAACCTTATTCATAGAACTGTTCCAACATAGCATCAGCAAAAAATAATTATTTTCTTTCATTAGTCAGCGTTGTCATTAATACTTAAGTCCATTAGGAAATCCAGGCAGGTAGGCTAGATTGGGAAGTGTTTTAAAAAAACAGGAAGAAGGCAATGTGGAAGCTGCATTTGTTTGGTTGCCAAGAGAACTAAGCACTTCTATTCATGAAGTGACCAAGACTCAACCCAAAATAGATTTTAGCCACTGCTGCAGGAGGGACACACAATACGTATGGACAATTTGAACATATCAGGCAAAGCTTCATGATCTTTCCACAGCATGCCACAGGGTGATTGGCTTGTCCCCAGTTCTCCCTTCATTGTAGGCATTGATGGCAGGAGGCACCTCAGCAAGGACAGGTGAGTGGGAAACCTGACAAGGTGAAGAAATGGAAATAATGTACATTTCCCCTTTCTTTAAAGGATAAGAATAAAAAGCCGCCTCCTTCTTGAATCACAGGAGATGAGCAAAAAGGAGTCCGTAGCATAGCACATGAAGCAGCTGTTAGAATCTATAGAATAAATAGGTCAAGTGTGGAAAGAAAATATTTAGGACTCGGGAATCTAAATATGGGAATGTTTTTGTCATGAAAAAGCTTATTGCTGCCATCATTAGGCCTAGTGGATACATTACTGGGATTAATTGGGAATGGGATGGGAATGTACCTATTCCCTTGGAGAAGAGATATCTGTATACATTTCCAAAAGTTATATATGCCCATGATTATAAATGGTTAGGTAGAGAAGAGAGTGGAGCAAGAATAGTATGAAGAATGCAACAAGAGATCCAAATTACATGGGTTCTCTCTGTCCAGGCATCCATTTCATAAAGCATTCTACCCATCTTGACTACTACTGTATGGACATCCTTGCCCTGATGGAATCACCCTAAGCCAATGTTCACATGATCAGCCAAGAATCTACAGGGAAGTACTTGTGTGGCAGAGTCTTCAGAAAGCCAACTGAGATAGGGAATGGATTTGTGAACAGTGACAACGATCGTATGGGAGAGTCCATAATTAAGACTTGACCAAAAGGAAACTTCACAAATATGGGGGGGGGGGAGTAATAAAGACTACAAAGTAAATACAGGTTAGAACCCCCCACTTTCCAGTTGCATTCAGTAAGTGACCAACACAGTCGTGGAGAAGGAGTAAATTTGATGGGACAACTGAATGGATGCCACCTACTGAAGAAGGCCTAAATAACTGGACAGCTATAAACACAAAATAACCAGAGACGATTAAGAAGGAATAGAGTTTACAAAGGATGGATGGGCAGGATGAAGGAAGTTTCCCACCCACCCCCAAGTCTAACTTTGAAGCCCCCTCCCTTTGTCCTCAGCTCTGGGCAGTGACAGCCAATGTGTTGACATAGCCATGGGGCCCCATGTCGTTCTCTGAGATGCAGTGACTGAGCTGGCCAGCCCCGACGCCTGTGGAAAGGACGGGCACGTTCTTGCCCTTGCCGCCCTGCCCGCTGGCCGAGTGGAGAAGGTAGCAGGTCTCCATGGCCTCCAAGGCCCGGCAGGCCAGGAAGAAGAGGTTCTTGAGCATGAAGATGGAGAGCGGCTGCTGGTAGCGCACCAGCAGGAGGCAGCGCAGGGCCAGCAGCGGCGCATCCAGGAGTCCGGCGGGGAGCAGCCAGTGCACGGCCAGGCGGCCGGCGCCGGGGGCCCGCGGCGCGCTCAGCTCGTACAGCCAGAGCACGGGCGAGGCCAGGCACAAGAAGTAGACGGCGATCAGCACGTACCGGACGGGCAGCGGCAGGGGCAAGGCGGGCCGGGCCGGCTGCAAGAGCAGCAGCTCCAGGAGGGTGAAGCTGTCCAGCAGGTCCAGGCACGTGGCCAGGAAGGCGGCAGAGGCGCGGTGCTGGGGCGGCGGCTGGGCCGGCAGGAGCAGCTGCCCGCCGCCGGGATCGGTGCTGATGGCGCGCAGGAGGCAGTAGAGGAGCGGGGCCGAGAGCGCCAGCGTGATGCGGAAGCCCGTGGCGCCCAGCGGCAGGCGCAGCTCGACCAGCTCCAGGATGGACGTGCCCAGGATGAGGGCCGCCTTGGGCGTGAAGGCGATGGCGTAGATCAGCCAGGCCAAGTGAGCGTAGGCGAAGTCCCCGCTTCGCGGAGCGGCCCCCGCCTTGGCCCCCGAGCCCGCCCCGCCGCCTCTGCCGCCGTACGGGCCGTGAGCCAGCAGCGGGTGCAAGGGCGGGGGCGTCGGGTGGCCTCCTCCGGCCCCCAACGGGCGGTCCCGCCGACGGGCGCGGCTGTTGCGGCAGAAGAAGATGCTCCAGCCGGCCGCCAGCACCAGGTCGGTGGCGATCCAGCTGCACCAGTACAAGTCGGTGACGGCGATCAGGTAGATGTCCAGCAGCGCCCCCTGGCCCAGCAGCAGCACCAAGGACAGCGCCTGGTAGCCCCAACGCGGCCCGGCGCCGAAGCCCCCCGCCCACAGCAGCCCGGCCGCCGGGCCCGCCGCCGCCCCCGGCCCACCCAGCGGAGCCCCGTACAGCTCGCCGGCGGTCATGGTGCAGCCCGACGACGAGGAGCTGCTGAAGCCTGACGAGGCGCAAGCTGAGGCGGCGGCGGCGGCGGGAATGGTAACGACGGCTGCCGGCGAGGCGGACTCCTGAGCCGGCGGCACCAGCGGCTTGGCTTCTTCCCCTTCGCCGTCCTCGTCCTCCTCGCTGCTGCGGTCGCTGCTGCTCCTGCTGTTGGTGCTGGTGCCGCGGCTGCTGCTGCTGCTGCGACCGCTGCTGCTCCGCGTCCGGGTCGAGGCCGAATTGGAAACCGAGCCCCGCCTGCCCCTCCGGGTGCCGCCGCTGGAGCTGCTGGTGCTGCTGACGCCGCCGCCGCCGCCGCCGCCCAGAAAGAGCGGCTGCAGATCCCCGGCAGCGGCGGGGGGAGGCGGCGGGGGAGCCTGGAAGGAGCCGGAGGAGGAGGAGACCGAGCGCTGGTTGGAGACCACCCGGTGCATGGTCAGCCTGGCCCCACTGCCCCCAAGGCGACGGGCCGGCCGGCGGGCCACAGCCCTCCCGCCCGGGCGGCCAAAAAACCAAACCAAACCCAGCAACCCTGCCCGGCGCAGGCGAACCGCGGGGGAGCGCGAGCGCTGGGCGGGCGAGGCTGAGCGAACGCGGAGACCCGGCCTGGATCCTCGGGATCCGGGAAAACCCGGAGCGGATCCGCGCGGAGTCGGACGAGGAGGAAGGCAGGGGGAAAAAAGGGGTGGGGGGCTGCGTGGGACAGAACCGCCGGAGTAGAGGCGGCCTTGGAGGATCCTGGACGCGCGAGGCCGAGGGCCGGCTCTGCTCTGAGGAAGCGGCTGCCGAGCCGTTGGAGGGACGCGGGCAGGGGCGGCCGCGAGGTAGGAGGCACTTGGGAGCAGAGCCCCCCCACCCTTCTTGGCAACTGGGTGGGCGGCCTGTGACAGCAGCAGCAGCACATGAGTCACTTGCTGGAGGGGGCAGGAAAAACGTTGCCTAGCTGGAAAGGAAACCCGAGACCCTGAGTGTGCCCCCCTCCGCCCTCGACTTGGGGAATTAAGGAGGGGTTGTTGGAAGAGACCCTTCTCCAACATGGACACTCCCCTCTCCCCCTGTGAATTGGTTTTTGGGTACATGGGCTCCCACACAGGTGCTTTCAAGTCACTCTGTGACTCCTGGCAACTATCAGAACGAATCCCTGCAGTTTTCTTAACAAGGACATTTCCCAGAGGGGGTGGTCCAAGGTCTTCCACCTGGCCTTGTGCCTAAGGCAGAATTAGAACTCACACGTTCTAATCATGCTAGCCTGATGACTTAAACCACTGCACCTAACTGTCTCTCCAAGATTGGAGTACATCCAGTTCCTGTGTCATCTCCAGATAAAATCTAGGGGGGGGGGGGTGTCAGATGGAGAAGGGTGTCTTTTGCACCCTTCATAGAATTCTTTATTGGCCAAGTGTGATTGGACACACACAAGGAATTTGTCTTGGGGCAAATGCTCTCAGTGTACATAAAAGAAAAGATACATTCGCCAAGAGTCAAGACTCATAAGGTATGACACTTAATAAGAGTGCCTCTTTAAGCCCAAGGCTCCAAAAGGGGCTTCTTCCACCTTCTCGGGTTCTCTGAGAAGGACATTGACTGCTGCTTATGGCTTTGGGCAGAAGTCTTTATCACCCTGTCCTCACCCAGCCAGGACACTCTGGTGTGCTGTGATGTAATATCAATGAACCTGAGCTGGCATTCCTTGCAGCATCCTCTTGGCCCTTTGAGAAAACTTAAAGCCCAGCATCTGGAAGTCAATCAGGACAAACTTAAGGCCATCTATGGCAGAAGTCCCCAATCATTCTATCTTTGTGAACCTGCAGTGGCATCAGAGAAAATCATTCCTCATGAGTGGCAGATGAGCACATGTGTGCAGTTCCATTTGTACAAGCCGTGGGCGTGCATGCATACCATTCACATAAATGGAGCTTCATGCACGCATGCAGCCACCCACTGCTTGTGCGGGCCGGTTCCAAATAGCCATTGGGGATCCCCGTATTCGTGGACTACAATTCTGCAAGACACAAAGAGGAATCCAAAATGTTTCAAGTATATTCAGTGTGTATTAAGAAGATACAGCGGTAAAGAAAAACAGGAATGGATGTTAGGATTAACGAACCTGAATTTAGAAGTAGGAATGAAGGACCAATAGATAGTTCCCTTGTAATAGGAAGGGCAGAAGCCAAATACTTGTTCTGAGCACAATAGAATAAAACCAAACTTTTAACACCAGGCTATATATAATTAATCTCTGTAGTTAGAAGTTTGGCATCCTACAATCTGAGGTGATATTTGGTGTCCTACAATCTATTTTCTTCCTCATAGACAGCCAATTGTCTTCAACAGAACAAAAGCTTCCCGCAAACTTTTTGACACATTTACAGATTAACAGAGTTGGAAGGGACCTCATAGGTCATCTAGTCCAACCCCCCTGCCCAAGCAGGAGACCCTACACCATTTCTGACAAATGGCAATCCAATCTCTTCTTGAAAGCCTCCAGTGATGAAGCTCCCACAACTTCTGAGGGCAAGCTGTTCCATTGATTGATCGTTCTCACTGTCAGAACATTTCTCCTTATTTCCAGGCTGAATCTCTCCTTGTTCAGTTTCTATCCATTATTCTTTTTCTGGTCTTCAGGTGCTTTGGAGAATAGCTTGACCCCTTCCTCCCTGTGGCAACCCCTCAAATATTGGAAGACTGCTATCATGTTCATACCTGGATACCTGCATACCTGGGTCCTTCTCTTTACTAGACTAGCCAAGCCCAGTCCCTGCAACCATTCGTTGTATGTTTTAGCCTCCAGTCCCCTAATCATCCTGGTTGCTCTTCTCTGTACTTTTTCTGGGGTCTCAATGTCCTCCTGATTGTTTAGCTTCAAAGAGAGAATTATTCTTGCTCTGAGATTGGGCTAGGTAATCCCTTATGAATATACCTTAATAGATGAAGAAAGAAAAAGTCTACAGATCAATCGTTTTGATCTAACAGGACTCTGTAGAAACTTGCATTGCTAGACTAACACCACAAAATGCAATGTGGATTTGCAATGTGCTCAAATGCTTCGGTACAAAATTCAAATCTGGAAAGGTTCTGCTGCAAAGTGACATCAGGCAGGGCTACATGCCAAAAAAACCAAGGTTAAAAAAAACCTTACATCACAATGTCATAGCCCATATGTGCGCTTTTCTACCAGTCTTTTAATAGTCATTTTTATTAAATATTACAATTTATAACAATAAAAACTAATGTAAACTTTTCAAAAAGGGCCTAGATTCTTACTTTTTGGTCCAAAGATAATATGTTAAATGACAGTAAGATGATAACTTCTTTTATGACTAAATTATTTGGTTCAATGCATCGTAATAATTCTTCTAATACCAGTCTCTCTCTCTCTCTCTCTCTCTCTCTCTCTCTCTCCCTCTCTCTCCCTCCCTCCCTCCCTCCCTCCCTCCATGTCTCTCTCTCTCTCTCTCCGAATATTGTATGAAAAAGCAGCGGGTGAAAAATTTATTCTCCACCTTATCAAGAGCCATCTTTCTTTAGAGCAGAAAGACTGAAGAAAGGGGAGTGTTTTAAATGAAACAGCCGAAGCCCACAATTATGTCTCACAAAATCTGTCAGGAGGTAGCAGGTGCAGAAGGGAGACAAAGAGAGTAAGACAATTGGATTCCTCTTTAAAAGTGCAAATAGCTGTTTCAGGGGGAGTGGATGGATGGCACTCCTGAGACAGTAAGCGGCTTCACAAGCCAGAATTAACATGCCAAGATGGTGCTGAACACTCTCTCAGCTCAATGGCTCTTGTCTTGCTGATTTTCCAAGCACTGCTCTCCAATCGCTAATTCCTATTTTTCCGTTCTGTTCAGCTTGCATCTCTTCCCCCCCCTATTTTGCTGGTTCCTTTTGTTCAATACCCAAACACAAGAAGCCATGTTTTACAGACCTCCTCCTATGCTCAAAGGACTTGCTGCAGCTCCCCAGAATTGCAGACCAGAGAGGTTTTGTTCATCTTGTCCCTGGATTGCATCTGAGAAATTTGGGTTGGAATCTACTGTTCTGTAATTTAAACCCATAATTCCCAGTTTTTTCTGACCAAGACTTCCGTAATGAAGCACACGCTTAGTTAAAAAAACTCTTGTTTAATTTCAACGCTGGGAATTATGTTCATTCCCAGCCTGTAATGAGTCCCAAATAGTCCCTCGAGATAAGCACCCACCTTTCTCTCTCCTTTGAATTGCTGCCAACAACTAAAGTGCCAAATGAACTAGAAAAACCCAACTGAAATACAAACTCCACAGAGCTTCAAGGATTAATCCGAACAGAATGAACGACTTTGCTTCCTACAAAGGTTTCTTCACCTTTGCCTGTCTTTTATACCTTATGGGAGGGGCAATCACCTCCCAGGCCTTACTCCCAAGTTGTCCCTTTTGTCTCAGCTGCTCTTGCCTTCTAGCAGCTCTGTGCACACACACACTGGGAACAGGCTCCCCTTGTTCCTCTGCCTCGCTGCTGCCAGACTCCGGAGGCTCTGGAGTCAGCACCCCATCGGATGCAGGACCCTCATCCAAGTCCTCTCCAGACTCCCAGACTGGTCCCCGTTCTTCCCCATTGTCCAATTCTGCTTCTGTCTGCACAGGCTGCCGGCGAACCACAACACAGTTCTGTACTCTAAAACAAGAGCCCTTGACTTACAACTCCAATTGCGACCAGAATTTTTGTTGCTAAACAAGGTAATCCTTAAATAAGTCATGACCAATTTTACATTTTTTTTGATTAAGCGAATCACTGCGATTAAGTGAGTCACAGTTATTACATTAATCCAGTTTCCCTCAGTTATTTTGCTTTTTGGAATCAGTGGGGGAAGGTTGTAAATGATGATCACAGGACCTGGGAAGCTGCAACTGTTTTAAAGACAGGCTGGTTACAAAATTTGGCATGCCACCATGGGGATGCCGCAAGAATCATAAATGTGAAGACTGTATTTGTTACTTTTTGTAATTTTGAATGGTCACTAAACGAAGGGTTGCAGGGGTGGGCTGCTGGGGGTTCGCAGGGGTTTGGGAGACCCCCCTAGCAAAGATTCTGTGCAGTTTGGAGAACCCCCAAATCCCACTCCTGGTTGGCCCCGCCCACCCCACCTCGCCCCTCCCAGGAGTCCCCACGTGGCCCATTTTGGATGAAGGTGAGCATAGGCATGCCCAGAGGCTAGAGGAGGGCGAAAAACGTGCCTCCCAGAAATTTGGGACGGCCAGAAATGGGCCCGTTTCCGGCTTCTAGAGAGCCTCTGGAGCCTGGGGAGGCCGTTTTCGCCCTCTCGGAGGCTTGAGAAAAGCCTCCGGATCCCAGGAAAGGAAAAAACATCCTCCCACAGTGGTGCAGGAGGCTGACTAGGCCACACCCACCATGGCTATGCCCACCCAGCAACCAGCCAGGGAACCCTTTGCTAAAAATT